GTGACTGAGCTCCTCACCCTGTCTCTAAGGGAGGAAACTCATTTCGGCTGTTTGTGTCCATGATCTCGTCCTTTTGGTCATTACCAAAAACTCATGACCATAGGTGAGGGTAGGAACATAGACTGACCGGGAAATCGAGAGCTTTGCCTTTTGACTCAGCCCCCTCCCTCAGTGCCGATGCTGCACTGATCCGCCTGTCAATCTCGCGCATGCCATTCTCCCCTCATGCACTCTATCCTGGAACGCGAGGATGGAGTACTTTACTATTTTTTGTTTTGTCTTGTTTTTATACGTAGACTAAGTGACATCAACATCCTGTATGTCTATGTTTTTGAAGTCCAGGAAAGTTTTCACAAAGCAGGACAGAACATGTACAAGAAAAGATCAGAGATAAAGTTGGGGTGGGCCTGAGCCTGTCATGTGTGCAGCCACAGGAAGTCTTAAAGGTGCATTGTGTAACTTTCCTGTTGGAGGGTCCGTCACCTGCTTGTTTCTAAGGATATCTCATTGTTCCACCTGGACTGTTCCACAGTATGACATTAATCAGGACTACCTTACATTTATTCAGTTACAGGTGGTTTTATAGCTGGAAAAAAATACCTAGAAAAACAGGTATTCTGACTGACTAACTTGGTCTGGTTTGGTCTGCATGATGATAGACAAAGAAATAACATCTCCATGGAGAAAAGTATCTCACAGACCACCCATCAGAAAAGTTACACAATGCACCTTCTGTTCTGTTCTCAATGACATCTTTATGCAGTGACGCAGTAGGACAGCTAGAGTGGCATCCTCCCCGGATGCAGATCAAATGGGTATTGTGGCCCATGTATTGAGACGTACCGAATCGTGAATCACCAATCAAACTGTATCATTGCATCCATAGTAGACATTAAAGTTCCACAGTGCAGCTTTAAGACTCCTGTTGATCCAGGGACACAGACCTGCTCCAGCAAACCCTAAACCATAACTGTGTTTCTTTTCAGGAAAATGGAGAACAGACCAGGACCAGCTGAACCAGGACTAAACCAGGACTGTCACAGGTCTAAAGCAGGTCCTGGCCCCAGTGGAGTCTCTCTGTGCAGTAACGACTCCAAAGACTTGGGCATTAACTTTCGAAAAAGGACAAACTGGATCCTCTGCAAGATTTAAAGAGCACTCACATCCGAGGTATGGACTGAACCAGGACTAGACCAGGACTAAACAGGACTACTCAATACTAATTCATTATTGTTAATAATGATGAACCCAGAACTGAAACAGGACTAGAGTAGGACTTAAGAAGGGTCATGTTTGTACACAGTCTGCATTAATGAATATTTCTTTAAATGTTATGGCTGGCTACAAGTGCATTATGTAATAGGGTGTATAAAATTGAAGGCTCTAAAATAAAATTTAAAAATGCCTGGATTAAACTCACCCGTTAAAGTTGCATTGTGTAACTCCCAAACAGAACCAGACCTGACACATTGATTTTTTAAAATTATATTTTTCACAAAAATGTATTTGTTAAATTCTCTGTTCTCATGATTAAAAAAAAATATATAAATTATATTTCATATAATTTTGTTCTCATGAAGGTGTATAGGTATATTATCAGAAGTAATTATTGATAAATGGCAATATATCATCCGTTGTTTTATTATGGGTGAAATTTTGTGATAGCGAATCGAGACATGCATATCATGATATGTATGTATGTATATTGTATTGTCAGGCTGCAGGCAATGCAGACTCCTGCTGAATTCATGCTAGATCTGTTGAACATGGAAATACTATGTTCAACATAATATCCAAATCCACTCAGTTTATGGGTTCATGTCAGTGAACACGATCATGGAATAATTTAGCTCCATAAAATGCTTCTTTATAAAGACTAATGAATATTTATATAATTGTACTGTTGGCATTGGTGCAAAAATAAATAACAGTAACTGTTAACAATTACTGTACTTTATTTTTATCATTTTGGCAGAAAGAATGAATATTTTTTTACATTGTGGTTATATTGTAACTATTATTATTACAGCCAAACAGATTGATATTGTGGCACCATGTATCGAATCGCAAGGAAACTGTATCATTGCATCCAAAGTTCCACAGTGCAGCTTTAAGACTCCTGTTGATTTCACAGACGTGCTCCAGCAAACCCTAAATTTTAACTGTGTTTCTTTTCAGGAAAATAGAGAACAGACCAGGACCAGCTGAACCAGGACTAAACCAGGACTGTTACAGGTCTAAAGCAGGTCCTGGCCCCAGTGGAGTCTCTCTCTGAGCAGTAACGACTCCAAAGACTCTTGGGCTTTAAAAAAGGACAAACTGGACCCTCTGCAAGATTTAAAGAGCACTCACATTTGAGGTATGGACTGAACCAGGACTAAAGCAGAACCAAACAGAACTATTCAATTCTAATTCATTATTGTTAGCCATGATGAATCCAGGACTGAACCAGGACTGAACCAGGACTGAACCAGGACTAAACCAGGACTAAACCAGGACTAATCAGGACTCTGTTGTTATTGATCGACAGAAACGAGGATTCGAGCGTTCCCATTGGTCAGGAGCCTCAGGCAGAGCTGGACTCCATCTTCCAGGTCTGTGATGTCAAAGTGTTTATGTGATTATTGAAAAGACGCACACATGTGTGACACATGGTAGGCCTGTTAAATAAGATTATTATTAGATTTTTATTTGTCATGGCATTATAAACTGTTCATTGTATTTCAACATTCGGCTTTACCCACCATCAGCTCCAGTGTCGTATCTGTTCTGTTCTCGGTCAGGAGTCATTTTGGTGCCTTTGTCTCCTTGTATGTGCGTTTTGCTTTGACACTGAGCTGATTTAAAACACCCGCTGCACAACAAGGTTAAACCTGTTGAATGTCCAGAAACTGTTGGTGCAACATTCACACACGTCCTGTCAGGAGAATGTCTGGAGAAGAGCTGTGTGACATTGTGTGTGTGAAAATGGCTTTAATCTTTAGAATGTGATGTTTTTATAAAGGGTGCAACAATATTGGGTATAGTCAAATCGTCTGTGGGTGCTGTGCGGCTCTGACTCTTGTATCTCTATGGTTCTTGCCATAGACTTTATATATGACATATGGAACATGGCTAGCTATATTTACATTTATTAATGTTCAAAATAGCCAAATAAAAAACCCAGGATCATGTAGAGAGGGTTAAAAAATACATTTTAAGGTCAGAATGATGAGTCACTTCGCGCTCATGCTTTCTGTTTGGGACCCACACAGCTAGTGCGTTAGCTATGTCTATTTATTTATACAGTCTGTGCTTGTCCCTAGGGTCACTCCCACTAGCGTTAGCAGCAGGTTTGATTGACAGTGTTGCTAAGCACACAGACCGCTGGTTTGGCATGGGGCAGGCACTTAGCAACACTCTCAATTAAAGCTGGGAAGGGCCATTACTTTCAACAGCCTTCGCTCCTGATTGGCTCTTTGATTTCGTGCTCGGATTTCCAAACATGGTTCCTGGTTGCATGGTTAGGCTGCTGCCCCCCGCGACCCGGCCCCGGATAAACGGACGAAAATGGATGGATGGATGGCTGGTTCCTGGTTGCAGATTAGCAACTATTAATGGTAGCTTCGTTGAGCTTAATTTGGATGCTATAGTGACGTCACACTTCCTCGGTCTACTTCTGTTACACAGTCTGTGGTTCCAGGTTCTGGAGGAGCAGGTCCTGAGGTTTGTAAAACAGCAGCTGCAGAGGCTTCACAGACTCCTGGCCTCAGATTACCCAGAATGCCCCGAGAGTGAGGAGGAGGAGGAGAGCCGAGAGGTTCTGACCATCACCTTGGATTTCCTGAAGAAGATGGACCAGGAGCAGCTGGCCCAACGCCTTTTCAGCAGTAAGAACTTCCAGATGCCCTCCCATCCTCCTGTATCCCTGTGTCAGATGCCCTCCCATCCTCCTGTATCCCTGTGTCAGATGCCCTCCCATCCTCCTGTATCCCTGTGTCAGATGCCCTCCCATCCTCCTGTATCCCTGTGCGTCACTGTGTGAGGCAGAGAAAATGTAAATGCAGTTCTTTAGTTGATGCTCTTATTTATCATGACAAGGAGGAAGTAAACTGGTAAACTGGTAGACCACTTGCTTTGGAGAGACAGGTGTAAACTTTTTTGCAGGACAGACTTTGCTTTTTATGCCATTTTCAAATAAAAAGATTAGCCTCAAAGAGACAAAATAATGAGTTGTTTCCAAAGCATTGTTATAGATAGTGGTGGAAGGTATGAATGAAGTACAAGCAGTAAAGTACTACACTTAAGCACATTTATTAGGTATCTGCCCATTTTAAAGTGGATTTTTTTTTTTTTACTTCACTACATTTGAGAGCAGGTATCTGTACTTTCTACTCCACTCCATTTTTTTAACAGAATTGAAAAGTAAAAAAGAAAAAAATTCATATGATTTTAGGGGATATTTTTACCATGTTTGTTGTAACATTCTGACTTTTGAGCTTTTGAGTTAAAGCTTCAACTTTCAGCAAACAAAATAATAAGAGAAATAAATAAAAAAAAATAAAAATGTATTTGTATTGCCATTGTTGACCAAAATCTGTGTCATTTTTAATCAATAAAGTTAACACTTTAACAAATTAACAACAGTTTATCATGGCACAGTAAGTCACTGATGTACTGGGGCACCTGGCCATTTAGAACTCCCATGAACATGATTTTAAAATCAATATGGAATTTAACAAGAAGCTAGTGCAGTGAAGATAAAATAGGTGTGATATGTGTTCGCCTGTTAGCTCCTGTTAAAAACCTTGCAGCCAAGTTTTGTACAAGTTACAGCCGCTTAAGGGTGATGCATTAATAAATCTAAACGAGATGAAATAACAGAGTGAACATTCATCTCAAGATCAGCATTTGATCAAATTTGTCTCAGTTTAAGAGATGTTCTGTAGCTGTAAAAGCGGTTTGCAGAATTGAAAACTTGCATGTTCTCTGCATCTTCTTTCTGCTGAAATGGAACTGTTTTCTGAGTAAAAACAGAAAATAGAGTCTGAGTAAAAGTTCGCCTATATTGCAAGTTGCATCACTTGTGTATTATGAGCTCATTTGACTAAAGCCAGTGTAAAGCCTAAAGCAGTTTTTAGAGCATTTAAAAGTTAATATTTTTGTCACTCCTGTGTCTATCAACTTAAAATTAAAAGTGGCATTGTGTGTGTGCAATTGGCTTTTGTATCAGATGCTCTCCCATCCTCCTGTATCCCTGTGTGTCAGATGCCCTCCTGTATGTTTAACATATAACTCTTCTGTCTTGTTTAAAGGGAGTAAAGTTGGATTCAGAGATAAACTGAAGTGTGATCTGAAGCAGAGGTTCAGCCGTGTGTTTGAGGGTGTCGCTAAAGCTGGAGACTCCGCCCCCCTGACCCAGATCTACACAGAGCTTTACATCACAGAAGGCGGAGCCTCAGAGGTCAACCAGGAACATGAGATTAGACACATGGAGACCGCATCCAGGAGAGCAGTCGTTCCAGAGATCACCATCACATGTGAAGAGCTCTTTAAAGACCACCCACATTCACCAAAGCCAGTCAGAGCAGTGCTCACGAAGGGTGTGGCCGGCGTGGGGAAAACAGTGTTGACTCAGAAGTTCTGTCTGGACTGGGCTGAAGGCCGGGCCCACCAGGACCTCCAGCTGCTGTTTCCGTTCACTTTCAGAGAGCTGAATGTGCTCAGAGACACGCAGTTCAGCCTGGTAGAGCTGCTGCACCACTTCTTCAGTCCATCCAAAGATCTCTGCAGCTTCCAACAGCTCCAGGTGCTCTTCATCTTTGACGGTCTGGATGAGTGCAGACTTCCTCTAGACTTCAGCCGAACCCAGGCCTTGAGCGACCCCACAGAATCCACCTCAGTGCACGTGCTGCTGGTGAACCTCATCAGGGGAAGCCTGCTTCCCTACGCTCGTCTCTGGATAACCACACGCCCCGCCGCGGCCAATCAGATCCCTGCTGAGTGCATCTCCATGGTGACAGAGGTGCGAGGGTTTGCCGACCTGCAGAAGGATCAGTACTTCAGGAAGAGGTTCACAGACCAGGCCATAGCCATCATCTCCCACATCAAGAGCATCCGCAGCCTCCACATCATGAGTCACATCCCAGTCTTCTGCTGGATCCTCTCCACAGTTCTACAAAAGCTTCTGGAACAAGCAGAGAGACAAGAACTGCCCCGGACTCTCACGCAGATGTACGTCCACTTTCTGGTGGTGCAGGCCAAAGTCCAGAATATCAAGTATCACCAGGGATCAGGGGCAGATCTTCACTGGACTCCAGAGACCAGGGAGATGGTGCGTTCTCTGGGAAAACTGGCCTTTGAGCAGCTGCAAAAAGGAAACCTGATTTTCTATGAGAGTGACCTGGGTGAGTGTGGGCTGGATGCTGCAGCGGCCTCAGTGTATTCCGGAGTGTTCACACAGGTCTTCAGAGAGGAGCCAGGCCTGTACCAGGACAAGGTCTACTGCTTCATCCATCTGAGTGTGCAGGAGTTTCTGGCTGCTCTTCACGTCCATCACACCTTCTTCAGCTCAGGAGAGAACCTGCTGAAGACACCACACTCCTCTGAGAGCTCTGACCCTGAGTCTTACCCTGAGGCAGCCTTCTACCGTTCTGCTGTGGTCCAGGCCTTACAGAGTCCAAATGGGCACCTGGACCTATTCCTGCGCTTCCTCCTGGGGCTATCTCTGCCGACCAATCAGAGCCTTCTGCAGGGTCTTCTGTCTCAAACAGGAAGTGACAGGACCAATCAGATGACAGTAAAGTACATCAAACAGAAGTTGAATGAAGAGGGTCTGTCTGTAGAGAGAAACCTGAACCTGTTCCACTGTCTGAACGAGCTCAACGACTGCAGTCTGGTGCAGGAGATACAGAAGAACATGAGAAAATACCTCTCTGATAGAAACATGTCTCCTGCTCAATGGGCAGCTCTGTCCTTTGTCTTACTGTCCTCAGACTCAGACCTGGAAGAGTTTGACCTGAGGAAATACCAGGCCTCAGAGAGAGCTCTCCTGGGTCTAACACCGGTGTTCAAAGTTTCCACCAAAGCCCTGTGAGTCCAGACTGTATTTAAACTCTTGTGTGGAGGTTCTAGTCTCTAACGTCCCTCTCTCTCCTCAGTCTTTGTGGCTGTGGCTTGTCCCCTCACAGCTGTGGTCCTCTGTCCTCAGTCCTCAGCTCCTCCAGACTCACACATCTGGATCTCAGTCACAATGATCTCCATGACTCAGGAGTGGAGCTGCTGTGTTCTGGACTGAAAAGTGCCCAATGTAAACTGGAGACGCTCAGGTGAGATGCTCCCATGATGCACTCTGCCCCCTTATGTCCACATGAGTGTAATGCTGTGTCTTTAGGTTGTCTGGGTGTCTGATCTCAGAGAGGGGCGGGGCTGCGCTGGCCTCAGCTCTGAGCTCCACCCCGTCCCACCTGAAAGAGTTAGATCTGAGCTACAACCATCCAGGACCCTCAGCCGAGCTCTTGATGGCTCTACAGCGCCCCCTGCCATCTGTCAGGTAAGACCGCATTGCCCCCTGCTGTCTGTCAGGTGAGATCGCCCCCTGCTGTCTATCAGGTGTGGGTCCTGGTCTGTGATCCATGGTTGATCCTGGTTTCTGGTCCTGGTCTAAACTGGACTTGTGTGTTTCAGGCTGGATCCTGCTGGAGAGCGCTGGATGGTCCCAGGTCTGAGGAAATGTGAGTCTGCTTTTATTTCATTCACACAGAAAAGTGCAAATAACAGATCAGACAATTTCCTTAATTTTACATTTTTGGTGAAGTTTATCAGTTAGCTCAGACATGACCAGTAGATGTGACATAACAGTTACCTAGCAACCATACTGTAAACAATGGCCAAAACTAATCTCATTTAATATATTTCAAAATATATCTAGCATAGTTTTCCTTTACTTTTCCTTACAAGTGTTTGCTGGTGAAAGACTTTTAACTAGTATTTATCATGTACGATCCCCTGTGGTAAAGAAGTACTAAATTTTGTTACTTAAGTAGAAGTACAGATACTTGAGGAAAAAAAAAAAACTCAAGTAAAAGTATCACATGCAAAAATCTACTGAAGTAAAAGTAGTAAAGTATTCTTTTAAAAAAATACAAAAGAATAAAAAGTAAAAGTATTTCTTTCATATTTTAATGTCATCTATAGCGTCAAATGTAATGATTTTGATAAAGATTTGTGCAGAATTTTGTTCAACAGTATCAATTAAATCATTTTTTTTCCTAGCTGTTTTTATTTGTATATTTTAGTTTGCTCAAACAATGAATTTTATTATTTATTTTTTTTAAACTCCATCAGCAGGTCTCAAACTACAATAAAACATAATTTTGCTTTTCAGTCCTGTTCAAAAATGTTGTGAACTAGAAAGTACAGATACAGTACCTGCTCTCAAATGTAGTGAACTAAAAGTAAAAGGTATCCAGTGTAAAATGTACTTAAGTAAAGTACAGATATCTCAAATTTATTCTTAAGTACAGTACTTTGCTACTTTTACTTTGCTACTTTCCACCACTGGTGATCCCACTAAATGTAGAGACAGACAGTGAAGGTGGCCAAGCATCTAGTGTATAAACTTACTGTGATTAAGTAAAAAGCAATCAAAAAAGTCTGAGGCATTAGAATAAAAGTCCTTTAATAGTTAGGACAAATAGCTGGGACAAACCAACCCACTGAGTCCTTTTAAAGGGCTATGGGGTCATCAGACAAGCACATGACCAAATGTACAAATTACATGACAGAGAAAAAATACATTAAAATTTACAACTTTTAGAGAATAAATTGAAGCTGTACATGTGCACAGAAATACACACTGTATTGAACAGTTTAGGCATAAAAACACAGTGAATTACAATAAGTAAATATACTGATAATAAAACACTGGATGGTTATTGGAGGGAAGCACACAGAACCAGTTCATAGGAATGGACTGAAGCCTATCTCTTCATTTAGGCCAGGATATTGGGTGGATCTCAGAGTGGAGATCCAATAGGTCTTTTGTTGAAATTGTTGTTCAAATATTTGAACAGTTTCAATGACTAAGACTTTGGGAAAGTCGTTTCTGCAGCTCATGGTTTTGAAATGTTTTGTGACAAAGTTTTGAGCTTTGACACCATCAGTTTTGAGCTCTGACACCATCATTCTTTCAACTTCCTTTTTGTGCACCCAATATAAAAGTACCCACACTCACAGTCAATTGTCAACTGTAGAAAAAACTGGAACTCAATAATGTTTGTATTTCAGACTCCTGTGATTTCTCTCTGGACCCAAACACGGCTCACAGGCACGTGCTTCTGTCTGAGGACAATCAGACTGCGAGCCGTGCGGTGGAGGAGCAGCCGTACCCAGATCATGAGGACAGGTTCACCGACTGGGAGCAGGTCCTGAGCTGCACTGGCCTGAAGGGGCGTTGTTACTGGGAGGTGGAGTGGAGCGGGGGGGTAGATATAGCAGTGACGTACAGAGGGATCACACGGAGCGGAGGGGGGCTGGAGTGTGCCTTTGGACTCAACGATGTGTCCTGGAGTCTGAGGATCTATGATGATGGAGTCTACTATGTCTGTCACAAGAGCAACTCAACACGGCTCCACCTGTCGCGACGCTCGGGGGAAGGGGGCGTGACTATTAAAGGGAGGGTGTTTTCTGGCAGAGTGGGGATGTTCCTGGACTCTGAGGCTGGAGAACTGGCCTTCTATGACGTCTGCTCTGATGGAGAACTGTCCCACCTCTGGACCTTCTCCTCGTCCTTCTCTGAGCCTCTGTTCCCTGGGTTTGGACTGGGGAAAGGCTCCTCTATAACCCACGTAAAAAGTAGTACAAAATAATATACTCTTAAAAGCACTTTCCATGGGCGGTTGTACTTTTTAAAAAATGAATTTCTGTTTGTCCAGCTTCTGATAAAAGGGACCTACCATATTTTCCGCACTATAGGGCGCTCTGGATTATATGGTGTACTGTCATCAATGGTCTATTTTCGAACTTTTTTCAGAATTAAACCGCACCAGACTTTAAATGAAACACAACAGTTTACAGTGACTCTCGGCTTTGTTCAATTGTGTCGTGTAGGGACCACTGGATTGGCTCAAAGTGGCACATTGCACTTGCCTTTTCGCTTCGTTTTTCCGTTCCATTCCTCGTCCCCGTGGAGTGATGAGTGTGGCTGCGGGTGTTTTTCGCTGCGTGGTCCCTGTCTGCTCCGTGCGTGTTTGCGGGTGGTGTGGCTTTGTAGTTTACTGAAGTTGTGCTGGGACACCCGAGTGGATTCGTGTATAGGGCACTCTGGATTGTGGGGCGAGTGGTTGTTTTTTGATGGGGTTGGAGGCTTATGAGCGCGCCCTATAGTGCGGAAAATACGGTACTTATTTTCAGTAAAATCAACCATTCTGATAAAAATCTGGACCAGTTTATACTCCAAACCCACAACTAAAAAATAGCTGATATGAATTTAGAGAGATCTACTTCAGCTTTGACATTGGAATTGTGAAGACCCAACAAATGCTCAATCTGCCGTCTCTATACCTGTTCTTGACCTTTCTCTGTGGAGAGCTTCTTCCCAATTTAGATGAGAGTACAGAGAAGGCCAAAAGTACACAGCTTCACAAAGAGTCCAGTCATTTGTCTGAGCCCCAAAGAGTTCAGAAACAGATTAGTTTGAATTGTGAGTCATCTTATTCAAGCATTCTAGGAAAAAAAACAAAAAAAACAGTCCAGTTTTATTAGATTTTTTATTGAAAGCATACATACATTAAAACATTTTTAAATGCAAGATTATAGGTCCAAAACATTAATAGCAAGATATACGATTTCAAATGACAAGATGAAATAATAATAATGACAGAGTAAAAATAATCCGTTAGTGAGTGTTTACATGTAGTGTGTGTGTATGTGTGTGTGTGTATAACTTAAGCATGTTCTCTAGAAGATCGTGCTTTCAAATGGTACTTTTACATAAGCTCTAAAAGAATGCACATTTTAAACACACTCATAATGGGTACACTTGTATAATAGGTTTGTACCATTAGTTTATAGTATACTACATGTTACTGCAGTACAAGGGAATTACTCTCAAATGTACTTGACTTTAGTTTCCTTTTATCTAATGCACTCACTGTTACTAAACTCTTGCATTATGTACATTTTTGGTGGAGGGTCTGTTTTTCTCTTCTCCATGGAGATGTTCTTGCTTTGTCTGGAATGTTTCACAGTATGGCATTAAACCTTTCTATCAACATGGAGACCAAACCAGACCGAGTTACAGGTCAGATCTGTGGAGAGGCAACACCGCTCACAGTGAGAATGCCTGTTTTTCTAGGTGTTTTTGAGCTATAAAACCACCTGTGATTGCATAAATGTAAAGTAGAGCTGTTTAATGTCATACTGTGGAACATTCCAGGCAGAGCAATGGCATGTCCATAGAAGTACTGAGCTTCTCCATAGAAACACCACTGAGCTATTGATTTATAGATTTATACTACACATGAATATACTGTAAACACGTTATTCAAAAATGCTCTGTTAAATCATAAAGTGCACTTTGAATAAATGCACTTATACTTAGTTCTCTCAAACTGTACCTTTGTGCCAGTTTCATAATGTATTACAAGGCAATATATTCAGAAATGCTCTTCCAGATTGTTCTGAAATGTGTTTATTTAATGGTGGTGGTCTCATAGTGTCATTATTATAGCATACTACTCATGAATATACTGCAAACACATTGTTCATAAATGCTTTTATTGGTGGTTTCTAGAATGAGATGGTGTCATACTCCCAGATGAAGGACAAGAGACAGTTTTTTCTTATTGATTACACTGTACTTTACCATGAAATATCCAAAATTCACAAATGTTTGATCTGAATTGCTTAACTCAGATAATGCAGTCAAAAAATAATTATAAAAGGCTTAGGGATTGTGCAATCAAAACTGCACATAGGTAGGGAATGTGCAATTTATAACAAAACTGCACATAGGCTTAGGGAATGTGCAATAAACTTAATTGCAATAAAACTGCACATAGGCTTAGGGAATGTGCAATAATAGAACAGAATGAATGCAATACCTGTTAAATATAATATTAATATATATATATATATGCATCACTCGTGGTCATACTGGTCTCATATTTACTTTGTTTTATGGTGTTTGTTTATGTGCTGCTTTGTGTTGTGTTGTCCTGTTTTTTTTGATAAAAATGTACCCCCTTGACAAATTTCTCCCATGGGAGACAATAAAGGATTATCTTATCTTATCTTATCTTATCTTATAATTTCTATTATTGACCCAAGAACTCACTGTATTACAACAAAAAGCAGCACTTTTTGTCTTCAGTTTTGTCTTCCCCCATGTACGCTTGTGTCATTGGTTTTTAAGATACTCAATGTAAATTTTGTGATGTCATACTCCCAGATGGGGGCAAGAGACAGATTTTCATATATTTTCATATGATTACATTGTAGTTTGTGAGGAAATATCCAAATGGCAAATTCACAAATGTTGAACCTGGTATTTTCTATTATTGTCTTAATCGAAGAACTCACTGTATTACAACATAGTTTTGCATTTTAACTGTATTAATTTTATCTGCCCCCCATCTGTATTTGTTAATATTGCCCTATAGAATGCTGTGGTCATCTGAAACCCAGCAGTACCAGTTTGTTGTTCACAAGGGTACTTCCACATGAGTTGGATTAAAGTTTGCTTTTGCTGAATGTACCTGAAAGTGGTACTCTCATAGTGTATCTTTGCTTTTGATTTATAGTGCTCTACACATGGATATAATGCAAGCATGTGGTTCAGATATGCTCTTCTTCAGATATTGTACTAAAATGCACATTACATTAATAAATTTGAAGTTGGAACTCTCAGACTGTACCTTTATGCCTTTTATTTGTAGCGTACTACAAACTGATATCATGCAAGCAAATTGTCTAAAGATTCCTCTTAAAATAAACTTACAATCAGTTCCCTTGACTTTCATTACTCCTACTCTATGTTTGTGCCATTGTGTATTTCACGGTAATATACTGTAAACACATTGTTCAGAAATGTTCTTCCAAATAAATCATATTAAAATGTGTATTTAATAATGTACTTCAGGTGGTAGTTTCATAGTGTAATTTTAGCTATTTAGCTTGTTCCATAACTACACATGAATTGATGCTATTTTAGATATTTTAGACTGCTACAAAATGGTCTTTGGGATTTGAGAAACACCCACCATATTTGTAATGACCTTTGTGTAAGTGGAGCTGTTAACACTCTCCACTTGTTTGTAGAGTGAGGGCGGTGCCAAGGCTTTGTGTGGCTCATGTGTGACGTGTGATGTGGTGTGATGTTGGACAATGCTGGTTCTGTCCAAATCTCTGACTTTGGAAGCCCATTTGCCCTTGTTAGAAGTCACATGGGTGTAGATTTAAGGAAGTATAATAAAAATGTTATTACAGATCCATGATTATCTCAATATAATAATAATAATAATAATAATAATAATATATATATTTTTTTTTACTTTTACTTGAGTAATTTTCTGGACCACTGTACTTCTACTTTAGTAATGTTATTTTGAAGTAATATTACAAACTTGAGTTGAGTGGTTACTCTGTTTAAGTCATTCGTTTTACAGTTACATTCTGACCTGTTTCCATCGTTATACAATACACAAGTTATAACAATGCAACATCTGACACCAGGAATGAAACCAATCTATGATTTTATCGAATCAGTTCTTGACTCACTACTGTATCATCGTTAAATGGAGGAGCTCCCCCTAGTGGGCACTTACAGAGACATTTCTAAAGTCCAGTTGGATCAGTTTAACCTTAAATAAGTTTAATGCACTTAACATTCTGGTTCCGTACAGAGATGGGTAGTAGTCAAAACCTTTACTCAAAGAAGAGTAATGTTACTTCAAAATAATGTGACTCATGTAGAAGTACAAAGTAGTAGTAGCAGTAGTAGTAGCAGCAGTAGTAGTAATCCAAGAGCTTTAACTCTTGCCCAAGTGGAACTTTTGCAGAGGTTTGGTGCAGAGTTTTTCGCTGTCGAAAACGCCTGGCTTCCGCCACATAATTGACAACGGACCACAATCTTCTTTCCACTCGTATCGAGTAAAGGCGAAATAATGTGCGTATTTCCAGGTAGAGAAAGCACTTTTCTCCCGATGTTTGCGCCATGCTGCGTTTGTTTTGCTTTTGCCGCTAGCTGCTTGGTGCACGTCCCGGAGACACGACGTCACTAATCTGCGACTTGCAGAATTATTTGAAGGGTTTTATCCCGTAAGTCTGTGGTTTTATTATGGGTTTTATTTAAGAAAATGAAAAAATGAATTATTCTGTGAGCAAAACATAGTACGCATATTACTTGACCAAGTAACTACAATCTGATTACCAGTTTTGTAAATATAACGCGTTAGATTACTGCGTTCCTTAAAAAGGAATCTGAATACAGTAACGCGTTACTAAGTGAGCTAACACTGCTAATTTCTGACGTATAATTTGAAGTTAATGCAATTTGATTGACAAAACATTAAACAATGCTCAAAATCTAGTATTTTCAAAGGACAAACACAAAAAAATATATATATAAAAATAAAATAAATCTAGACTATCTGAAGGAGCAGTGCATAAAGCTTGTCACTTGCAGACTTACTCACAGTGGGAAGTGTAACTACAACTTTTACTCGAGTAAAATATTACTCATGTTGGAGTAAAAGTAGAAAAGTACAATTTCTTTAAAAGGTTACTCAAGTAAATGTAACTGAGTAAATAGCTGAGGACTATCCAGCTCTGGTTCTATCAAATGTGTGAACATACGCAAGTCGGTTCACAGAAATATAGCCGGGAGTCTAAGAAGACTTAAAACATTTTATCTCATGAATCACCAAAGGGACACGACTCTAGGCCATTACTATAACTTTTACGGCATAACTATAGCTAAAGGATATTTCCAAAGTCTGACCAGCTGTAGCTTCAATACATTATGGATGCTATTTGGCGTCAAGAGGTCATGCATCCGTCCCCTGGGGCCAATAACTCTCCATTAGTGACAGCAGACGCTTTTAACGCTCTTCTTACCGAACAGGGATGGACCAGGAGAAGACAGCCCCAGCCCAGCGGAGGAGAGGCGGGCTCTGGACTCCCCCTCTCCGTCTGCCTGCCCCCCGACACAAACGCTACATTCAGCAGCCCAGAGGAAACGGAAAAGACGAAACACTCGGGCCACACAATTCGAGACTTCAAACCCAGGACCGTGGAAAGAACACCGATATACCCTCTTGTTTTTATCGGCTCTCAACTTTGGACCGCTCCATTTTTACGCGCTCTGTTACGCACGGCCTCCCCACAGCTGTACGCATCTGGCACGGCCGTAGAACGCGCACGGAGAAGGGGGTAGGCTATAGATATGTCACCCCAAACCCCGCAGTCTCCGGTGAGGGCCAACATCCTCAAGTTCCTCAAGACTTTTTTGGGAATCTTACGGGTTTTGCAGATCGTCTTCGGCGCCGGATTGTGGGTAACCATCGCCGCGAATAAATACGAAGGCTCCATTCACTTTGTCCTCTTCGTCGCGGTGCTCTTCTGGCTTCTCACGCTCGCTCTCTTCTTCATCACGCTGTTGGATAAGCAGGATTTGGTGCCAGTAGTCGGTGGACAACGGTGGCTCTTAACGAACTTGGTCCATGATGTAGCCGCCGCTTTGCTCTACCTCCCGGCCATTGGAATCATGATCTACAAGACCGAGCGGAACGCGTACTGCAACCTGGTCAAGTACCAGCACATGTGCCTGTACAAGGTCTACCTGACGGCCGCGGTGTTCGCCTGCCTTGCGTGCGTCGCCTACCTCGTGTCCCTGGTGTATTGCGCGTGCAGGAAATGCCGAGGAGCGCAGACGGTCATATGAGGAGAGGTGGTGAGGTGGAGAGGGTCGTTACGCGCGGGACTAACCGAATTAATGGAGAATGGATATAGGGAAAGAGGAGCAAAGATGAGGGATAGTTCTTCACTGTATCTTTACGGGGCAGACATTTCTTTTCTTTTTTTTTTAAATCGATTTTTTTTTTTTTTTTTTTTAAGATGGACAAGTTCTATTTTTTTCTAACAGTCAATATTTAGCAATCTGACTTTTGCAACTGGTTCATCCTGTTGAAATGTAGTCAGTGTTGTAGTCCAGGACAAGTTTAGGCCACATGAAACACCATATCAAAACTGGGACAAAAATTTAACTAAGCCTGGAAGTAAACATGGACTAAACCAGGTTTGGAACAGGACTAAATCACGTATGCATCAGGACTAAACAGGGTTCAAACCGAGACCAAATAAAACAAGCGTGGATGCATCTTTAAACTGGGGCTGTACTCAGAATTAAACCTAGACTTAGACCTAGACTAGGACTAAACCAGGACTACAACAGGACCAAACCAAGTCAGAGCTAAACTAGGAATCAGGACACGTGTTTTGGTTTAAACCTGGTTAGACCTGGTTTAGTTGTAGTTAAGACAGAACTAGTTTAATCCTCTTGTATAGCTAATGTTTTTGTTTACTGCATGTTTAGACCTGATTTAGTCCAAACATAGACCTGTTTTAGTCCTGGTTTAGTCCTGGTTTAGACCTGCTTTAGTCCTGGTTTAGTTTTGCTTAGTTCTGATTTAGTCCAAGTGTAGACCTGTTTTAGTGTTGGTTTAGTCCTATTTTTGTCAGAGTTTTGACCTGGTTTAGTCTTTTTTAGTCCTGGTTTAGTCTTGGTTTAATCCTGGTCTACTCCAAATGTATATCTGTTTTAGTCCTGGTTTCGTCTTGGTTTAGTCCTGGTTTAGTCCAAGTGTAGACCTGTTTTAGTCCTGTTTTAGTCTTGGTTTAGTCCTGATTTAGTCCTGGTTTAGACCTGCTTTAGTCCTGGTTTAGTCTTGGTTTAATCCTGATTTACTCCAAGTGTATACCTGTTTTAGTCCTGGTTTAGTCTTGGTTTAGTCCTAATTTAGTCCAAGTGTAGACCTGTTTTAGTCCTGGTTTAGTCTTGGTTTAGTCCTGGTTTAGTCTTAGTTTAGTCCTGATTTAGTCCTGTTTTAGTCTTGGTTTAGTCCTGATTTAGTCCTGGTTTAGACCTGTTTTAGTCCTGGTTTAGTCTTGGTTTAGTCCTAATTTAGTCCAAGTGTAGACCTGTTTTAGTCCTGGTTTAGTCTTGGTTTAGTCCTAATTTAGTCCAAGTGTAGACCTGTTTTAGTACTGGTTTAGTCTTGGTTTAGACTTGGTTTAGTCCTGGCTTAGTCCTAATTTAGTCGAGGTCTAGTTGTTGCAGCAAAATCCAGCAACAGTATTTTCAAATTGAACTGAAAACGGTAAAGAACACATTTAACAAAGTGTCTGTTTTTTTAAATTGCATGAAAAGAAGTATTAATGAATCCCATATGCGTTGAATGCTTTGTAAATTCCTAATGAATTTTACAATCTATCCAAAAGGTCATCTGATCTGAAGCTGTCATAAACATGTCCTACATCCTGGTACTTATAATAGGCTTATATCTTGGTCCAATTCTTAGACTAATTTCTAACTACACAAGTTCTATTTTTGTGACCAGTATTGCATTGTTTGTTTTTTCTTCCTCATTTTGTACCGATTTTTTAACAGTGGAATTTCAAAGATTATATTTTTATGTTTTGTACTGTTTTATAGCATAGTATAACATAGTGAAAAAGGTAACATATTTTTCTCATGGATTTTTGGTGTTGCTGTTGGCTGTAATTTGAGATAACATTATGTCTAGAAGGCAGGTTTGTACTAAGTGAAGTGTACTTTTGTGGGCCAGACGCATTACGTTTTTGGGCATAAATGACTGTTATGAAGTTAGCCAAGAGTACGGTTATGTTTTGAGTAATTTCCAAGTGCCTCCTGTCTACACCCTGTGCCCTGTTGCCTAAAATGGTCAACAAAGTGCTCTAGCATAAAGTACATGACACAAATAAATGAAACTTAAGTGGTATGTTGTGTTGTCATCCTTTTCAACAGGCTATGATATGACTAGTGTTGACACGACTCATGATACAAAGTAAAACTCAACATTAAATCGTAGTACTTTCTTTTATATTACCATGTTTGATGAGGAGAAAACATTATAACAGATCAGAAAAAAGTGTAATATGGGCCAATGTTTCCTGGATAATGTTGTGCAACTGGTAGCATTTAGTAGTGAATATAGTATATAGTAGTGATACTATGACTATGATGGTGCAGGAGTTCTGATAAATATACAATCAACTAATCTCTCTAAAACAGTGTTGTCATGATACCAAAATTTCAAACTTGATTTCGATACTAAGGAAGAGACTCAATATCATGATGATAATAATAATATATATATATATATATATATATATATATATATTATATATATATATATATATATATATATATATATATATATATATAAAATAAAATAAACACTTTCTTTAGACTATAGAATGTGATTTTCAACATTAAAGGGACAGTCTGGAATTTTAGAAATAAGACCTAATTTCCTAGTTGGAGAGCGTTGGAGACGTGTGGAGACACTTTTTAAAATATTCCATCCAGTATTTGCCGATGTCACAGGTGCTAGGCTAGTGCATGTCAATGGCCATAGTTAGCCTGACACTAAAAACAGTCTTACCCACTCCACAAAACACCTGAAGCAAAACAATTATTACACCAGACTGTCCATGTAAATGTCTGTGTTGACTTGCATTTGAAGGATTTCTGTCTGAGCAGCAGCAGTGAGTTGTACTTCCTGATAGAAAGCTTAGCAGCGGCGGACTATTCATGCAATGCAAGGTTAGTTTTATTTCAAACATTATTCTATCGACACAGACACTCACATCGACAGTCTGGTTTAATACCAGATTTGCCTTGGGTGTTTTGAGGAGTGGGTAAGACTGTTTTTAGTGGCACTGATAACTATGGCCATTAACATGTGCTAGCTTAGCATTAGCGACCTCTGCAAATACAAGGACTGAATGGAATATTTTAAAAAGTGTCTCCACACGTCTCCAACACTCTGACTCAGGAAAAGGAAATGAGGTCCTATGTCCAAAATTCTGGAATGTCCCTTTAAATAAATCACTGTACTTTCTTTTATATGTGGTCCTGTATGTGTGTGTAATCCCTCAGTGGTCCAGTAGGTTCCATAGTGGTCCTTACTAGTCTATGTGCTCTTATACTTGTTCCGACACAGCTCAAGATGATTCTAAAACTATTCAGGAAAGGTTTATTTCCTGCTCAAATCAGTATCTACTTTTGATACAAGTTTTAGTATTGATTAGTATCTGATTTTCAATACTTCTGACAACCCAAGCACACATACTGTATAACTGCCATAGGCTACTTAAAAAGACTAGTCATTACATAACATAACATATCTTTCATGAAGAATTGATAGAGCAAAGCATTATGGTCTATGTAGTCCCGTTTGCATTACACACTCCTCTGCAAACCACGCACTAAAGTCAGTCTCAGAAGTTATTATAGTTCAGTTTGTAGACCTGAGGTTGGTGGTTCAATCCTCAGTTCTTTCATTGCATGCTACTATTGTGTCCTTAGGCAAAGCACTTCAGTTTACCATCAGTTTCTGGGTACTCTGTTGTATGAATGTTGTCTGGACTGGTGAAAGGTTTGTTGATGTAAGTAAGATTTAAGTATTGCATAAGTTATTTTTAAGTTAATATTACCAATGTTTACGATATTGTGGTTTTAGATTTAAAGATCATATGTTACTGACTCTTAAAATTGTCTCTTGTGAGCTTTAAACCATGTTAAAATGTTGTGACCTCATCAAAAACATAATGAGAGTTGTGTTTTGTTTCCTTCACAGTGAGTCATCCCTAATTATAAGTCTGTCTACATCTCTAAAGCGCAAAATGCTCTGTTCCACCCTGTGATGTCATGAAGCAGTAGTTCTTAAGTTAACAGTTCCTTTAACCTTTTGTTTTGTAGAGACTGAAATTATCCAAAGGATTCTAGTGAAAGTGTGGAGTTTAAACGCAGCAACTCCTGATGACATCAGGACAGACTGTTTACCATTTGAGAGAAGACCTCAGCATAAATCTGCAGGGTTTGTGTGTTAAACATGTGAATGAAACAAAACACAAATCCAGGTCTGTTTGTGATGAGGAAACTACATTATAACGTATAAGAAAATAACGTAATATGGGCCCTTTAACAGTGCATTTTTCATATATAACCTTAGGTCTGTTGTATCCGTTGCACTAGAGGCTGCAGAGGTTAGCCCACACTGATGGCTTTTCCAAATGAGCTCCAGATTGGTCGCGCAGACAGGAGCCCTCCAGTACTTCCTGTTTGGAGATAAAAGCCTCAGCCAATCAGCAGGGAGCATTTATGTGCAGCAGGACCACATGAAAGAGATTACAGGGCGCTATATACAGGACGCACGGAACCAGAGGTGGTGGAGGAGGCGAAAACTACAGCAGCTTTTAATACAATAAAGAGTGGTTAGTAGAAGACATAGACTACTTTTCTCCATATTTAGTATTTAGTGTTGTTTCGCAAAATTGACTCTTGTGACCTTTAAGCCATTTTAGAATGTTGTTATCTCCTCAAAAACATACCTGGAATTGTGTTTTCTTTCACTGACCCATGTTTGAATAACTCTTTACTATTAGACTGACATCTCCAAAGCTCAAAATTCACTGATCAACCTTGTTAGCAGCTGCTTCTTAAAGGGACAGTTTAGAATTTTGGACATAAGGCCTCATTTCCTAGTGAGCCAGAGTGTTGGAGATGTGTGGAGACACTTTTTAAAAATTTTCCATCCAGTCCTTGTATTTGCAGAGGTCGCTGGTGCTAGGCTAGTGCATGTCAATGGCCATAGTTAGCCTGCCACTAAAAACAGTCTTACCCACTCCACAAAACAACCGATTATTACGCCAGACTGTCCATGTGAATGTCTGTGTTGATAGAATAATGTTTGAAATAAAACTAACCTTGCATCACATGAATTGTCGCATGTTGAGGGACTATTTTCTCATATATCAATCCGCCACTGCCAAACTTTCTGTCAGGAATTACGACTCGCTGCTGCTGCTCAGACATAAATCCAATATATAAATGCAAGGTTTGTTTTACTTCTAAAATTATTCTATCAACACAGACATTCACATTGAAAGTCTGGCGTAATAATAGATTTGCTCTGGGTGTTTTGTGGAGTGGGTAAGATTGTTTTTAGTAGCAGGATAACTATGGCCATTGACATGCACTAGCCTAGCACCAGCAACCTCTGCAAATACAAGGACTGAAATTAAATATTTAAAAATGTGTCTCCACATGCCTTCAACACTCTGGCTCACTAGAAATGAGGTCCTATGTCCAAAATTCCAAACTGTCCCTTTAACTTTAGTCCAGCAGAGATTGGCAATTCCCGGCGTGAGATTATCCAAATGATTCTAGTGATGGTGTGTGGAGTTTAAAGAAGACAAGACAGTGGAGCGATTCATGTATTACCACATGACATCACAAGGTGGGACAGTGCATTTTCCATTTGAGAGAAAAACATACAGCCAGAATTTGCAGGATTTGTGTGTTATGAAACAAAACACAACTCCATGTATGTTTTTGATGAAGTAACAACATTCTAACATGGCTCACAAGAATCAATTTTGCATAATTTCAGACCTTGGAGAGTAGTTCTAAATTGATGAGTTTTGAGTAGTGCAGAGATTTCAGTGTTGTCACAGATTTGCTGAGGTAGTGAATCAGCACTGAACTGCCATTGGCTGAAAAAGTTACTCATCATTTTATCTCTAAGGAAGGTTATTTTGGTTACATTAAAACTCTTGGGTTTGGGGCGAGACTTGGAGCGGTCTGAGCCAATCACGGAGCAGCCAGGACAAGACAGGAAGGTGATTCAGTCTTTTCCCGTCATTGCATCTGTAATGAAAAATCTCAACACTACTCATACAGTACATAGTTCCTCAGAAAGTTTTTTTATAAATGCATGAGTGTCTGTTATATTTTGGTCACAACCACCAGGTTTTCGGTTTTAATTTCCTGATCTGTTGGGGCCTTCCTGTGTAGAGTTTGCATGTTCTCGTTGTAAAAGAAATTTGGATTGGTTAATTTATTTTTTTTAAATTTATTTTATTTCTATGGGGCATTAACTGCTAACATGTTACATATTTCTATCACCATGTTACCTTTATTTGTTTTGAAAATGCCATATTCCCAAAACAAAAACAACTTATTAACATATTTTTAAAGTGTCACTTTTGTTTTTGATGTTTTGAGCCCGCCTCACTTTGTACTCTGTGTTGTTACTCCCCCTTCAGAGCAATATCACAATACTAACAGCATCTAATGAAACTTATGAAACTACTGCACATCCGCATCAGGTTTGTCAAGTTGCTGTGTACAGTTTTGTATCATGTTTTTGTATAATTTTGGAGAATTGACGTAGGCTTGTGTACTGTTCAGTTGCTCTCACCTTTTTTATTGGAAATCACATCGAGACCTATACTCCGCCCAGAGCCCTGAGATCAGCCGACCAGCTCCTGTTGGTCGTGCTCAAAACTAGACTCAAGACGAGAGGTGACAGAGCTTTTTCTGTTGCAGCGCCCAGACTGTGTGACAACCTTCCTCTTCCTGTCACATTATGTCAGTCTGTAACACAGTTTAAGACGAGACTGAAAACTCACCTCTTCTCCCTGACATTTAGTACTAGCGAGTCAGGTTATCTTGGTGTTTTCATATTAGTTTTCACATGTTATCTGTATATATGTATTTGTAACTGTTTCTTCTATGTTTTTGACTTGTATGTGAAGCACTTTGGTCACCGGAAGTTGTTTTAAATGTGCTATATATAAACTTCAATTGAATTGAATTGAATCGAGACAGAATCATGAACACTCGTATTGATCACAGGCTTCTGAAAATGTTCTGTTTAAATCCATTTCTTGAGTTCTGAGTCTGTCTTAAAACTTTTTTTGGCAGTCTTTA